CACACACACACACACACGCGCGCACGCATGAGTCAGCCTGTGTGAAAGTAAATTTTCTATAAATCTTTGTGATTCCCCCAAAACGTTTAAACGCCCCACCCATTTATCGCCGTCAACTTTGAACGCTGAAGTTAATTCATTTATCCAATGTGTTGCGAGCGTTTGTCAGTATGATTCGCTGCTTACTTCGAAAGTAAACGGCATTATTTTAATACGTGCATTGCAATCAATCCTATTATAAAGTGCTTCATATTTTTCTTAAATCCCTCGTTAATATTTCATGTAACAAGGCGTGTTCTTGGATAAACACAGAACTAAACCAGCGTAAAGAAGTTAAAGCAACTTTCGTAAGGATCGCCTGTTTATATGACATGTACTGGTGTCAGATTAATTTACAATTAACTGTCATTTTATTACCAACGTGAATCACAAACAAGTCCCCACGAGGTAACGTCTTCAACAGCCATATAGGTGAGACATGGGGGTTACCGTGTTAAATTACTCATACAACGTTTTGATAAATAAAATTTCTCCTCCTGCTGCTATGCATCTATACTACGCACAGATGGATAGGGGCAATATTAGCCCATAGCCCATAGTCTCCGTGAGAGTAATGTGGGACTAAAATCCACCTTGAAATTGTAGAAGTAAGGTCATGGTTGGCACGTCATTATTGATGTCGAACTTGACTGGTCCTTTTATGGCCGTAAATGACACGTTTTTCATTCCTTCGAGAATGGCCTGCCCAACTTCCTCGTTGTGATAGTGGAAATTGTGTAAACGTTGTGTCGAGTCAGCACCTGGAAAATATATATGGCAAAATATTAAAATCGGCGGAAACTAATGTATGGCGAGATTTACACTAAGCATAGATAATCATCAGTGTACCACACAGCTCTGTACTGAGACAATACAAGGTCGTATCAAACCATAACATGTTACTAGCAGTAAGATTTTAATATTTCTAAGCCCATTCTTATTTTATTAATGTAAAAGATAATATTATTATGTAATTAATATAATTATATTATATATTATATTACTATAGTTATATAATGCCGCGATGTCAATTACATTTAAGTACATACGTACACATGAGCACACATGCACACACACACGCACACGCGTTTCCCATTCTATATTTTCAATAGATGCTCGTCTCATGTTTAGTTTGGTTGGAGTGAGGGGTTGCGTCCGAAATTGCCGTGTAGTTGGCTGTGTGTGTGTGTGTGTGTGTGTGTGCTGATGTGTGTGTGTGTGTGTGTGTGTGTGTGTGGCGTGTGCCGTGCATGTGTGTGTGTGTGGTGTTTTTTTTTATTGTGTCCTTCGTGTGTGTGTGTGTGTGTGTGTGTGTGTGTGTGTGTGTGTGGTGTGTTGTGTAGTGTGTGTATGTGTGTGTATGTGTTGTGTGTTGTGTGTGTGTGTGGGGGGGTGTGTGTGTGTGTGTGTGTGTGTGTTGTGTGTGTTGTGTGTAGCTGTGTGTGTATGTGAAAGAGAGGAGAACGCGGAAACGTACTAGAAATTAAAAGTGCGAACAGGTTAACTCGAGGGCGAAATGCAGGCGTGTGGTAGCACGCTCTCTCTCTCTCACTTTCTCTCGCCGCTCTCTCTCCGCGCTCTCTCTCTCGCGCTCTCTTCTCGCGCTGTATCTCGCGCTCTCACTCGCTCTCGCGCCTCGCCTCTCTCTCTCTCTCTCCCTTTCTCGCGCGCTCTCTCTCTCTCTCCCTCTCTCTCTCTCTCGTGCGCTCTCTCTCTCTCCCTCTTCTTCTCGTGCGCTTCTCTCTCGCTCGCGCGCGCGCTCTCTCTTCCTCTCTCTCGCGCGCGCGCTCTCTCTCTCCTCTCTCTCCCTCTTCTCTCTCTCTCCCTCTCTCTCTCTCTCTCGCGCGCTCTTCTCTCTCCTGCGCGCGCCGCTCTCTCTCCCTCTCTCTTTCGCGCGCGCGCGCTCTCTCTCTCTCTCTCGCGCTTTCTCTCTGTGCTCTCTCTCTCTCTCTCTCTCTTCTCTCTCTCTCTCTCTCTCTCTCTCTCTCTCTCTCTTCTCTGCTCTCTCATTTCATACCCTGCTAAAATACGCTGTGCACCGTCAAGTCCAGCGCGGCGCCCATGTCGTGTCGTATCCGAGAATCTTCTCTGTTGTCAAACGTCACGTTGTGGCGAACACTGAGCTCTGTCTGAGGAATCCGCTGACGCTACTCCATGATCTGCCTGGAAGTCGAAGCGGCAGCACGAAGTGGGCCGCCAATGCCATCATCAATTGCTCCTGGTTGCAGCCCAGCTTTAGCTTCTCCGCCTTGCTCAGTAACCACCAGTCGGGAGTGTACCAGCCTGGCACCACCCATACATATTTTGAACCGTAAAGCCCTTCTTGGTAAGCCTGTATTCGAGAACAAGAGGAAAGCGCCAGTTATATGCGCGCATCATTGCCGCCAAGCCATGCACATACAACACACAACGCTCACACACGCGCATAAAACACGCGCGCACACACACGCACACATACACGCGTGCGCACAGATACACACGCGCGGCCACGCACGCACAAACACACAGCGCGCGCACGCACTAACACATACACGCACGCACGCACGCACGCACGCACGCACGCACGCACGCACACACGCACACACGCACGCACACACACACACACACACACCACACACACACGCACGCACGCACACACACACACACACACCACACACACGCACGCAGCACACCGCACACACGCACACACGTACACACGCACGCACGCACGCACACACACATCATACACACGTACACACGCACGCACGCACGCACACACGCACACACACATACACGCGCGCACACACACACACACAGACACGCCAACATCCAAGCATATAGATGCAAGTATCATTTCCATTTTGAGAAATATTTTGCTCTTACGCTGCAGAAAATCTTTTTTGCCACATCTTGATAAACTCCAACGAACATTATTCTCGCATCACGACCCTGTAATAGACGACCGCGAACAAATGTAGAGTGTAAATAATGAACTGTAAAACATTGATAGTGCAACTATTATTGTAACAGTTTACTTTTTGCACGCACTCAAATGCGCGCACCCGTTTTCACCCAGACGAACTCGCCGATCGTTCTTTTGTCAAAATTGCTGTTCGTAACCATGCTTACTGTCAGGTTTTCTCCACCAGACTCCATAGCTTTAACTTTATGATATACGAATATTAGCTAAAACATATCTAATTAATTATGTTATGTATAACGACATTCTAAGTTACTGTGTAGCTGCTGTCCAAAATGACAACAGTGGTATAAGAGAATACTTGCTGCCTTACGATGAATGAATTGCCTCATGGCGACATTCTTACTTTGAGTGACTTTACGTATTGCTCTGTATCGTCCTGTAGAACATAGGATGCAGCGACTGTATAGTTAGCTTCTTCCATGGTTGCCACGAAAGTTGTGAATGTCTGTCAAATAAAATGTAGATGCGCACTTGTTAGCGAGGCGAAAAAAACATCTAGAAAACTAAATAACAAATACCTAACACGCATTATTCATCCATGTGCAATTACGAAAAAGCAAAATTGTATCTTTTTGGCAATAAATTGAACGCGAACAACACTGTTCTCACTGAATGTAATTAGAACGGCAGCCCCGGTAGAAATATCAGTAAGATTGAAATTATCGACACCATTCTGCACCGACATAGCCCGCTCCTGCAAGAATGCATGCATCTCGCATCAACTCGAAATCCACTTTTATGTGACGTACAACCAACCGACTCGTAGTACTTTTAAACCATTGCGTTTGTTACAATTCTGTTGTCAGGAGGTAAACAAGTACTGGCAGATTTAGGTCATCATAACACATACAGAGAATAATCACATTACTATTACATTGCAAACCATTATAGGTGGTTTGCTATTAGGTTTGGTAACTTATTAGCTTTATATCTAAGCCTTATATTTGCATGTAGCCGCATGTCGAATTATCCATTAGCTCAATTTAGAAATAGAAAACATCTATATAATCCATGATATTCCGCCAAAACTGTAATAATGCGGATGCATGTAAACACGCACACCATTATACTGATTGAGGCTTTAGAATTTAGATGACATTATTGTGCATGAGATATCACGGTTATGATCGACTTATACGATAAGACATAACGCCGGCAAGGAACTAAAACTTTCTGAGCCATAAAAGGTCACGCACGATGATCGCGTGCATAACGATAACGTTTTACCTACTCCAACAGAAAGACTAATTGGTACGGAGAAGCCATATACTCGTTTCTCTCTGCTGCACGCCTGTCGTTACAGCGACGCTTACCGGGCATGGGTAAGTGCACTTTTCAAAGATCAGGGGCCGGTTTCACGAAGCGTAATTAAGTCCTTAATCATGATTAAACCACTAATCATGATTAACTTCCCGTATTTAAATTGAGAGTGACATGTGTTCACGAAGCGTAATTAACTTTAATTATATTAGTTAATCACAATATTTAATTATACTCAGCGAGCATGATTAAATCCACTAATCATAATTAGTTGCTAGTACTAGTAGTAGTATGTAGTAAGTACTATTATATTAAGTACGCTGCAGATTTTACAATTGAAAATTTAGTTCAATTTTTTTCTCAAGGAAATTTAAATTGATCTAAGATTAGCTGTACTAATTTAGTTATTATAATTGGCAATTAATTCCTTTTCAGTACCGAATTTGCAGATACTTTTGGCGTTGTACGCCATTTTGAATACAGTGTAATTCATGTTTAAGTCGGCTAATTATGTGATTAGTTAAATATGTACTTAAATCGCTTCGTGAAACAGATTTTTAAGTATGATTAACTAATCACAATTACAAGAGGTTAATTATGATTAGTGATTTAATCATAATTAAAGTTAATCACGCTTCGTGAAACCGGCCCCTGTTTCGGGCAGACATGCAACAACGGAACATATATAGGTCGTAAATCGTCGCATCGTGATTAAGGGTGTCGCATGTTATCTGCCGAAGTCACTGCTGTCTGTATAAGACGCCAAAAATTGACACGACGCGGCATAAGAAAATCACTTAATACGCGCCTTCATCTGGGCTCGATTTTCCTTGTGGGGATGAAACTGCGAACTTTTCAGGCGGCTAATGATCACTCTGCTTCCTTCCACCTGCGCCTCTCTTCAATAGCGGGAGGAGGTTGATAAACAGACAACCTGTGCCCCCTCAACCACACTATGCGCCATATTCGAACCGTCGTAGAGATGATTCAGCGGAAAGGGGTAACTAACTTGAATCAGGTGTATTCTGGGAACAGCTTTTGCTCATTTGCACTCTTGAAAATAGCGGTAGACATGCATAGGTGCTTGAGCGAAATTCACCGAGTTGCAATTGCGTTGCAATTCAGACACAAGCAGTGTATATGCAGACGCATAGCTAATTATATAGCATAGCTCATAGCCCTTTACAGTAGCGGCGGTGTCACGACTCACAGTGCGTGGCACACGAGAATTCCCCTTAAATGCGTGTCTAGAACTTCTTACACGTAGGACAATTCAACGGCAACAACTGATATATACCCAACGCATGTATAGCGTAACCTGGGGCTGAGGCGAACAAGCTAGGGCCTGCTAACACGGTGCAGCCTTCCCATGCTCGTTACCGAAGCGAACATGCCCGCGCTCTGTATTTCGTTTGCTCGACCAGCGAAGTCCAGCGAAGTCCAGCGAAACGAAGCGAACATGCTTCGCTCTATATTTTGTTTGCTCGCGCAGCGAAGGCGAGCGAAACGAAGCGAACATATCCCTCGTCTCGATTTCGCTTGCTCGAGCAACGAAGTCCAGCGAAGTCCAGCGAAACGAAGCGAACATACCCCAGTCTCAATTTTGCTTGTTCGACCAGCGAAGTCCAGCGAAACGAAGCGAACATGCCCCCGCTCTGTGTTTCGCTTGCTCGCGCAGCGAAGGCGAGCGAAACGAAGGCGAGCGACTTTAATAGCTCTTTTATATCGTTATATCTAACACTAACTTGATATCTACTTTATATCTAAACCCCCCCCCTTGATAACCCCATTTTATATCACGACATTAATGACATTAAAGTTGGGAACGCTCCTAATGGAGCATTACCCCAAGAAACGGTATTGCTAGAGTTAGAAGTATAGACAATCAGTCGCACAGCCTCGTTCTCGTTGGGCTAGAAGCGCCACTGGTTAATTAGAACGCAATGTGCAATACAACACAATCATGAATCACGGATGCTTCGTCTTTCACTCGTGGGTAAGGCGGATCCTATCGCCATGTCCACGGGGTGGACAACATCGCACGTAAACCACGTCACTCAAACTACCTTCGCTCACTCGTTCCGTGCGGCGGACGCGCGCGCGCGCGCGCGCAGGCCGTGTCGTGTGTATTGTGTTGTGTGTGTGTGTGTGTGTGTGTGTGTGTGTGTGTGTGTGTGTGTGTGTGTGTGTGTGTGTGTGGTGTTTCTGCACTGACACAGCCCGCTCCTGCAAGAAAGCATGCATCTCGCATCAACTCGAAATCCACTTTTCTGTGGCGTACAACCAACCGACTGGTAGTGCTTTTAAATTATTGCGTTTGTCGCCATTCTGTTGTTAGGAGGTAAACAAGTACTGGCAGATTTAGGTCATCATAACACATACAGAGAATAATCACATTGTTATTACACTGCAAACCATTATAGGTGGTTTGCTATTAGGTTTGGTACCTTATTAGCTTTATATCTAAGCCTTATATCTGCATGTAGCCGCATGTCGAATTATCCATTAGCTCAATGTAGAAATAGAAACCATCTATATAATCCATGATATTCCGCCAAAACTGTAATAATGCGGATGCATGTAAACACGCACACCATTATACTGATTGAGGCTTTAGATGACACTATTGTGCATGAGATATCACGGTTATGATAGGCTTATACGATAAGACGTAGCGTAGCAACCTTGGATGTTTTTCTCTTCATCTCTCGCACTCTCTCGCTATTACCCCCTGCTTTCTCCTCCTTTCCTTCGTCCTCCCACTTATCTTTCCACTCTCTCCTCTCACGTCTTTCTCCTCTCATTCTCGCCATTTTTCGTACCGCCGCGCATGCACATGGACTATTAAATGTCAATCCAGCACATATCGTCTGTCGCACCATAGGTCGCACCTACCCATCACGTTATCTGTCATTGTATTTGTGTAAATATAGCCTATTTTAGGTCCTCTATTGTAAATCGCACCGCTCCTATCTAGAAGAAATATATAACTCCGTTCTTTAGCGCAGCCTATCCTATGGCACTGCGATATCTTTAAACACGCAAAACCACACACGCGCGCACGCACACGCATGCACGCACGCACACGCACATGTCATTTATCCCTGTCGCTATCCTGCGTTAACCAGCCGCAAAACACTTTGAAAATTGTATGTTAATGCACTTCGCTTAATTAATGAAGCTTCGATTAACGCAATTTTGCTAAACGGACAAGTAATATACTCGTTTAATGAATGATCCGTTTTGTTTATCGTATCTTATTGGTTATTAGCGAGAAATAACTACCGATAATGTCCGTTGTCACCTGTGTTTCCTCTATCTCGCGTATGAAAACAACGCCACAGCGCAGTTATCGTGTAATGGCTGTGTTGTGCGCGACCGCTCTGCGCTAGCCCGAAAGATTTTCAAGGAACGTGTAGCCACCCACGCTCAGTGATGACTTTTTATGACGATTAATGGTATTTGAGTAAAAAATATGGAAATTATATCGCCTTTATTATTTTTATTGTTTGTAGAAAAAACAAACATCTCACCAAATCCGGTCACAGACTAAGGAATAAATTAAACTACGACTGTAGCACAGTGTAGTACCGTGTGCACATTACGCATTGTGATGTATTGTGCATTAGTCTGTGATACGGTGTGAATGATCGTTTTGCATCTAAAAAGAAATGTATAACCGTTTAATAGAGCTAAATCTACTTGAAGACTAACATTTGACCTAATAGATTCAGGAATGTATAATTAAACTCCAGTCCAAATATTAGAATTAACGATATAGACGTTTTCATGTTACAACGTTACACATCCACGGTCTGTCACCTCAGCCAGATTTTTAGTGTACCGCTTCATTCGCTGGGCGGCGCCACCATTCAATTGCATTACACTATTTTGGCGTTTTTTCCAGTCTGTGTATCCGTTAGTCTGTGGCAAACTCCACGACAGATGGCGCTCTCGCTCTGGCTCAATACTACTCTGGCTCAGTACTACTCTACTCTACTCTGTAGTACTCTACTCTCTAGTAGTACTCTACTCTGGCTCAATACTACTCTGGCTCAGTATTATCCTGAGTGTGGGAAGGGGCACTGCATGCAGTTTGAGTCTGTGGTAGTAGTCGTGTCGCTACTCTCTCACTGCTGCCTTGAATGAGCAGCAGGTGCTGCCACCTCCCGGGTGACTTTCCCGCCTATCC